CCATTTCCAACATTTAGAAACAAAAAAACGACTTCCGTGCAGGGAAAGATAGCTAAATTGAATAGCAAGAAAGGACAGGCTTGAAATACTGGTTAACCAATGAACCGAGACCCATTAGAGTAAATTACCGAGTATGGAAACATAGCCCCACTGCTTGCTAGCTGGGACGCATCGACACCCTGAGCATCCATTTATTTAAAAGACAGCACACAGCCTCATTTGCAGCTTGGGCATGCACGGAGTAATGGGGGAAGAGATGGCCAGAGAAAAGAAGGGTGTGGAGGCTGTTCTGCCAGAAAGGATGCAACTAGCAAGCTAAAATAGCTTTGTGGGTTTGCCTGCCTTCCAGCGAGTGATTTTATTTTATTTTCTGATCACATTTAATCGTGCCCAAATAGAGATAGCCTGTATCATGTTCCTAAGGAGACATCCGGAATAACTTCTTTAGAAACCCCAAATAAATAAATAAATAAGCAGATCACAATGCCACAAGTCCTTTTCCACTGGCATTTACCCCGACAGCTCATGAGAGCATTTTATAAATCCAGAAAGAGACAAGGAACAGCAGATCCCTCAAGCAAGTAATTGACAGAGAAAGAATAGCCTGTCACAGGGGAGAGCCGAGAGCCCTGCCTTTCAGTTACAGTTTACTTAGTTTTGCTGGGCCTCGATTGGCTGGAGGTTTTCTAGAGCTCACTTGGAACAGATGTTGTCTAGACATTGATGGCCGGGACACCCTTTAGAAGGAGTGCTGCTGTAGCACATGGGCACCATCCTGGAGAGAAGGTGGGATCCGCCCTCCTGCTGGAGAACTCTGCCTCGGACTGAGACTGGAAGGGTTCTTAGAATTGTTCTTGTCCCGCCCTAGCTCCACTCACACAGGATTTCCAGGGATGGCCCTCACCTTCCTGATCTTGGGCCTCTCTGCTGGATCCACCTTTCCCATTGCATAGGACCCTAAAACCACCTTTGTCAACCCACCTTCATATCCCAAGATCTTGCCCAGTGGCTGGACTGGGTACTAGGAAATGTTTGATGAACTACAAATAGGAGAGCAGTCCTAGTTGACCAGCTTCCCCCTCCCACTACCTCCCCAGAGGGTCCCCCCCAGCCTGTTCCCCCAGACCTGATTGTGAGGAATGAGTGCCTGCCTTTGTTGGTTTGGCATCTGGAGTTGATTAGGTACTCACTGATACCTGCCAATCATAGATGGGGCTGAAATGCAGGGAAATGGCTGCCTGCATGAAGTGAAATTCAATAAAACCGCATTTTAAGTGAAAAATCAGTATAAACACCAGGCTTCTTTGCCATGGAAACAGAGGTTGCTTAGAAACTGCCTAACAGCAAGTTCTAAATTTTTTAAAGTCAAGTTATCATTTAAGCTACACGGCCCTACAGGTTATTGAGAGATAATCACTGGCCTCAGGACACGCAGAAGCACAGGGCACAGCCGAGTGCCTCCCTCTCTCTGAGGACCAGGTAATCTCTTGATAACTGTGCTCCCAAGAGCCACTGATTCAGGCCTGGGGGAAGGAGAAAGAAATTTTTGTTTGGGAGTTAAGTAGTGTACACACACACACACACACACACACACACACACACACATATTTTAAGTGTTTCTCTATGGATTTGAAAAAGATAGAACTGGCCATTTGGCTTGCTCAACAGCCATCTCTGCCATGTGTGAAGATGTATTAGGGACATTTTCCAGGCGGTTACTCCAGTCACTCCAAAGCAGAGGCCTTGCCTTTGTCTTCGAGCCTCTGATTATGCAGAATGGGCCTGTGAGGACTTGGCCTTTTGCTTTGGGCTCCTGGCTTTCTGGAGAGATCGGCTTCAGCCCAGGCTGGATAAGAACAAAGCCTAGCTGCAGTGCGCCCAGACCTGACCTCCTGGGCCTCAGTCTCAGCCCCCAGGGGCTGAAACCAACAAGCATCCAGGTTCAGAATCTGTCCACGTTTAGTGTTTGGCGGGCTTCATGCCTTTCACCCAGCGAGAGCACAACCGTCCCCTCGAGCCATCTGCCTGCATGGCACAGGGACTGTGCCCCACATCAGGTGTGCAGCGGGCCAAGTGGGCCACATTTCCTTTTCTTCCTGAAAACAAACAGAATTAGGACCTGTTGGCTGAGAATCCGGTCCCCAACCAAGGCAGAGTGGAGGCATTAAGAGTGAGACAAAAGACAAATGTTTTGCCCTTTTCAGAGCATCTAAAGACTGTCCAAGGTGGGTGGCGCAGCTGGAGTTGGTAGCGAGAATCATTCCTTAGACAACAGGCAGTCTCTCCCTCTTTCCCTGTCTCTTTCTGGAACAGTTTTTTTATTATATACCCCAAAGTGTTTTCCTGTACCTCCTCTCTGCAGAGCCTTGGTACAAACTTATAAGGAGGATGGGCTGCTATGATGGTTCTCTCTGGAGAAAAAAAATGGAAAAAGGTTCACAAGACAAAATAATTTGTTTTACACTAGAGGTGGGAGAATGAACTCGTTATGGCTGTCAGCCATGCCAAGGCATTTCCGCCTTTTACAGCACAGAAATTAGACCCCAAAATAATTCTTCCTAGAGTTTAGCCCTTACTTAATAAAAGAAGGTGAACTTTGCTTCTCTGTTTGCATTTTATTTGGAGACCTCCCCAGGCAAAGAGAAGAGCTGCTTTCCTTTTCCTGTGCTGCCAGCTTGTACAACGTCCACATTTTGCATGCTAAAAAGGGCTCAGAAAATGAATGGTGCCACGTTTTCATGCCACGTCTCAAGTCACAGCACAGCTGTGACTGAACTGGGCCGTAGCACCACTTTGCTGCGTGTTGCCCAGATAAAAATATTCCTTGAAGCGAGAGCACCATGCTGTAGCATGAGAAATTGTTCCAGTTCTTGAAAGGGGGGGAAAAAAATCAAATGAAACCATTTGCATTCTAACAGTTTCTGGCACCAAGGGAAAACTGTCAACTGTGTCACGTGTAAATAGAAATCTACTTCCCATTTTTGGTGCGTTTCTTTATCATTTCCCTTGCCACTCTAATTATCAAAGATATTTTTGTTTTTAAACAAAAATTGTCTCCCACGCAGGCCCCATCTCCTTTCTGCAGTGAAGTGGAAACGATGCATTAGAATATTCTAATCACTTCTCCAGTAACTGCTGCACAGGTTAGAAACACAAGATTATTCTAAGCAAACAGAACTTCAAATTGTTTAGGCATACAACAGGCCCAGAACATTTTCAAAATGTCCCTCTCCTCCCACCCCGCTCCCCTGACCTCCTTAGCCTGAGTCTATTAAACCCAAGAAAGAAAACAATGTTGGCTCTTCAGAGGTGAGATCAGGTCCCTGAGGACCCAGGCTTTTCAGATTAAAGAAATTAGAAACCTGAAAACTAGATTTTACTTAGCAATCATTTAATTCCTACTTGGTGCTCAAAAGTATGCCAGAGGATCCTAGGAATAATTGGGAAGAATAAGATTTAATTCATTAAATGGATACTATATCCAGCTGTCCCTGGGTATCCAGTGTGGGATGGGTTGAGGGGCCCTCACAGATACCACATCTGGGGATATTCAGGTCTCTTCTATAACATAGCCCTCGATTTTGTAACAATGCAAATGCTATGTAAATAATAGCTATATTGTATTGTTTCAGGAATGTACAAGGAAAGAAGTCTATATATGTTCAGTACAGATGTGGGTTTTTTCACAGTATTTTCAGTCCATGCCTGGTTGAATCCATGGATACAGAGGCTGGCTTGTCTGTTGGTTAATAGAGATCATGCATGCTAGACTCCGTAGGTCTGATCTGCCTTTTAAACCTCAGCAAGACCTTTAGTGAAGTGTACCTCCTATCTCTGGCAAACAAGAAGCCTAAACTAAACAAGTTGTATAATCCCCATGGCCAGTGATTCCATTGGTGATGCAGGGTCTGCTCATCTGTTCCTCTTCTACCCTGGTGATAAGCGCTTGGCCTCCCTCTCTCTACTCATAGAATGTAAACATCCTGGGAGGAATGTCATCCTAGGCCAACCTAGTAAGTCTGAGACCCTGTTTAATCAGCAAGTATTTACTGAATGCTTACCATGGACCACTGTCCAGGAATAGGAGCAAACATGGTTCCTACCCTAAGAAAGCTTCTCTATCTCAAGAGGGCAGGCAGTTGATATGTGCAGGAAAGGGGTTCTGAGAAATGGAGCAGCCTACCTGAGTAGAGGGGGCAGGTGATGCTGGGCTGGGGGAAGCATGGCCTCCTGCCATTGACCAGCCGCTCTCAGCCTATCATGAGATGTATGTGGAGACCGGCCAGGATGGTGCCCCTGGACATATGGTGGATGGTTCAGAAACAGGAGCTGAGCTGAGAAGAAACAAGATTGTGACTCAAAGTTCAGGTCAAGGCAGTGAGCCCCATCCTTGGTGGGCATCTGATGAACTCAGTGTTGTGCCAGAGATCACCGAGGGGGGCTGCTCCAGGAGAGGAAAGGAGCCCCTCCCTGAGCCTGGGGAGAGCATGTAGTCTTTTAGACCTGACCCCTGGGCAAATGGCTCCACCTGCCTATGGCTCTCGGTGGTCAGGAAGGGTCCAGGGTCCCCATGGGGATCTGGGCACAAGGAAGCCGGGAGGCCTGTCCAGGGCCCCCAACAGGTCACAGAGCCCTGCTCCTGAGCTGTAGTGAAGGGTAGGTCCTGTCATCTTTTTCCTTTTCAAAAACTCCATCTTAACACTCCACAGTTCATCCTGGAGCTTTGCCAAGAGCTTGTTTAATATCAATATTGTTCTCCTCGGACTAATTACTGTTTTACTCTATGTCAATGGATATGAAACTGTTTACCTCTATTTCTGTTGGGCTCTGGGACCATCCTAATGGTACTGTCTTAGGAACTGGTCTGTTCTGTTATCTGAAGTGATTTGCTATGGGGATCAATTTCCTCTTGAGAGTTCAGTAAACAGCCCCTGGGGTGTCCCTCCCTTCTCCACTCCTGCTCCCCACCCTGACCACTCATGTCTGACCTCTCTCCACAGCGTCTTCCTCCACCTGATGAAAGTGGACCCTGACTCCACATGGCTCCTCCTGAACCAGCTTTACTGCCCCCTGCAGTTCACACCTCCCCACCCCCGCCTCCACCCCGTGCGGCTACAGGGGGCCCCCACACAACAGAACCCCTACACTGCCAATGTGTTCTACCTGCTCCAGAAGCTGGGGTGCCCATCACAGGTAGACGCTGCGGCCTCCCCTCCCTGCCAGCCAGAAGCTCGGCCAAGCCACCCTGCTGACTCCGGGGCAGCAGCGCTGAGAAGACGGTGAAGGTGGATCGATGTGTAAATTGATCGATCACACAACTGCTTAGAAATTGGACTGAAGGAAAGTAGCTGACTGTTATTTATATTTCATACCTCATGTTTTCAAATGACATTGTCTGGTGGCTCTAAGGGTTTTTAACTCCTTAGTCTGCTATCTCCCCAGCCTCATCTGCCTCACTGGCCACGCACGCGCGCACACACACACACATACCTGAGTGCTCAAGGCCAGTGGGCTGAACATCACATCTAAGACCCTTGGGAACTCAGCCCTGCCCAAGCACCACCCCCCTCCCCCCAGTAATGAGGTGGAACGAATTTGTTGTATCTAACTTGTTCTTTTGAAGGAAAGGAAGTAAAGGCGCTTCTTGGATGAAAAGTATGATCAAGAGCCCACTTTGAAGTTTGTTACTTAAATGGGGTGATTTTTTTAAATGAGTTTTTTTTTTTTAAATGGGTAACACAGAGCCACAGTATAAAATCCAAGTCCTGCAAAACAGCCATTCCCAAGCCATCTGTGTTTCCTCCCCAGAGGCAACCAACTCATAAAGATTGTTTTGGATACCTTTTTAACTAGGAGATTGATTTCTTAATTTTTTTTTTTAACTATGGGTAATAGTGTAAAGAAGCCAAGGTGATAGCCTTTGAGTATAGCTTAGTGGTACAGCACTTGCCTAGCATGGTCAAGGCCCTGGGTTCAATACCTACCCACCCCCCTAAAAAGTCCCTGTGCTGCTGGGTGCCGGTGGCTCACACCTGTAATCCTAGCTACTCAGGAGGCTGAGATCTGAGGATCGAGGTTCAAAGCCAGCCCGGGTAAGAAAGGCCATAAAACTCTTATCTCCAATAAACCACCAGAAAACTGGAAATGGTGCTGTAGCTCAAGTGGTAGAGCGCTCGCCTTGAGCTGAAGAGCTGAGGGACAGCGCCCAGGCCCAGAGTTCAAGCCCCATGACCGACAAAAAGAAAAAAGAAATCCCTGTGCTCACATTTCAGATAATCACTGTCAGCATGTGGCCAGCCTTGCTTTGTGCCTACTCCTGCCCCACCAACCCTCATTATTTTCAGGCAAATACAAACTGTATTAACCAAGCATTTTTCTTTCTTTCATTGTTTATAGTCCTAGGGGTTGAACTCAGGGCCTTGTGGCTTGGTAAGCAGCTACTCTACCAATTGGGGCAATGACCACAGTCCCTTTGATGTTACTTAGTCATTTTTCAAATAGGATTTCATGCTAATTTTACCCAAGCTGACCTCAGGCTCTAATCCTAACTCTTGATTCCAAGTAGTATGGGTTACAGGTATGTGCCACCTGTAACAAGCTGGACTTGTTTTGGTTTGGTCTTTTTGCCAGTCTTGATTTCAAGTAGTATGGGTTACAGGTATGTGCCACCTGTAACAAGCTGGACTTGTTTGGGTTTGGTCTTTTTGCCAGTCCTGAGGCTTGAACCCAGGATCTGGGCGCTGTCCCTGAGCTGTTTTTGCTCAAGGCCAGCACTCTACCACTTAAGCCACAGCACCACTTCTAGCTTTTTCTGTTTATGTGGTACTGGGGAATCAAACATAGGGCTTCATGCATGCTGGGCAAGCACTCTACCACTAAGCCACATTCCCAGCCTCTGAACTTGTTTTGTGAGATAAAGTCTTGCTAAATTTTGCCTGAGCTGGCTTTAGAACAGCAGTCCTCTAGACTGTCTGTCTCCCAAATAGCTAGGATTTTAGGTGTATTCTACCACACTTGGCCCACCCAAAATTTTTTAAAGGTATGGCCACAATACTATTAACATATCTTTTAAAAATAAGATTTATCTCTTAATATCATCAAATATTCAGTCATGGTCTTATTTTCTCAGTGTATTTAGATCAGGATCAAAATAGATATATTACAGATATCAATAAATAAATCTCTTAATCCTTTTTAATTTCTAGATTCCCCCTTTTTAATTTCTAGATTCTCTCTTTCCTTCCTTTGTGTGTTTTGGTGAGGAAAAGAAACTCATTTATCCTGCAGCATTTCCTACAGTCAGGTTTACTGATTGCATCCCTGTGGGGGTCATTTCACAGCCTCTTCCTGTCACCTGTATTTCTTGTAAATTGGGAGGAAGACAGAGCAAGAGTCTTGAGTTTGATTTTTTCCCCCTTGGTCTTGTGTCTTGGTTGTCCATAGGTAGCATTATTTACTTTGGCCAGCAGAGCCTTTAGTGTCTGCACTCATCAGGGATTGCCAAATGTGCCTAATTCTACCATGCCTGCTTGCTCTTAGTTGGGGTAGTTGTGTGAAATGAGGTTTCCCTTTCTCAAAAAGGCAGAACGGACACCTGGCTTTCTCCTAGCTGAGGAATTGAACACAGTGTATGTAAGTTTAGGCATGCAAGGTTACGGTTACCCATGCATGCGCTGTAACTGTAAGAGCTCCCTCACTAGATGCATGGCAGAGCACCAGCTGGACAACTCTTGCAGCAACATAGGTGCCCCAAGCTTGGGACACATGGGAGGAAGGCTCCCCAGCCTGTCCCTGTCTCTCCAGGGCCTGCCCTGCTAGGGCAGGATGTCTGGCTGGGGTGCAGGTAGCAGCCCTGGCTCTGGTCTAACTCTGCCAGTTAGATTCCAGGGACCCCTCATCCAGGGGCCTCAGTGCTCCATCTGGAAAGATAGAGGGAGAGGACACATCTGCTTGATCTGTGATGTGGGTCCCTCAGGCCTCTGATGAAATCTGAGGACCCTCTCCCACTCCCTCTCTGCCACCCTGGAAGGCACTTCACCCTCTCTGCCTGCAGGGCCCATGTGGTTGACCTCACAGAATTCTGTGCAGTTCCAGAGGCCCCTGTGACCCTGAGGGAACCCCAGCCAAGAGCCCATGAGAGCGCACCATGCCATTTCGCTCTCCTCCACTTCTAGAGCTCTGGGATGATTTCCTTCGGGAAGGGAAGAGAAATGCCCTCTAATTGAGGGGCTGGTGAAAGGAGCTGTGTTCCCAGCTCCATTAGGGGCACGGAGCCATGGCTAATTCAATCTCTCAGGCCTGACAAATGAGAAAACAAGTCAGAAAGGTGGCGTGACTTGTCGAGCATTACACAGCTGCTTCCCTAGACATTAAAATGGCCTTCCTTCCCCTAGTGGCTGGGGATGACAGGCAGTGGCGTGGGAGTGGCAGAAGAGCACTGGGGAGCTGTCCAGGTGATGATGAGGGTCAGAGGGCTTGCCACAGTTCCCCAAACCCCAACCTCTTCCTCAGAGTGAAGGTGTCCTGACCTCTTGTTCCTGCACTTGATTTAAAAAAAAAAAGTGCTAGTGACTCACACCCATAATCCTAGTATTCAGGAGGCTGAAGAGGATCATGGTTCAAAGCCAGCTGGGTCAGGAAAGTCCATGAGACTCTTATCTCCAATTAAGTACCAAAAAAAGAGAAAAAAAAAAAAAAAAAGCCAGAAGTAGAGCTGTGGCTCCAAGTGGTAGAGTACTAGCCTTGAGCGAAAAAGCTAAGGGAAAGCATCCAAGCCTTGAGTTCAAGCCCCAGGACCAGCACACACACACACACACACACACACACACACACACACACACACGCACACACGCACACACGCACACACATACAACCAATTATAGTGCCTCTCTGTTATTATTCCTGCAGCTTTACTTTTGAACCTGTAGGGCTGACTCAGAGTAGGCCTTGTTGATATGCTCATCACACAGTGATTCTCTCCCACTGCCCTTTTGAGGCATTCTAGCACCAGCACCAGTACATCTGTGACTGCACTTAGAGGGTGAGTAAGAGCATACGCAGAAGGCGGTAGACTCTGAGTTTTGGACACCTCTGTTTGAGGTGTGGCTGCAGAAAGAGGTTCTAAAAGTTTCATGCGCATCGGGCTGGGGATCCTCAACCGTGTCCTCTGGAGGTACCATCGTGTGGAAAAAAACACAGGGATTCAGGAGGTCATCCGAGCTGAGGTGAACTCTTAGCTTCCCCTGAATGGCTATGTGACCTTGCGCAGGCCATCTGACCTCTGAGCTTCATTTCCCACCACCGAAATGGCATTGCTGCTCCTGCCTTTCCTGCAGGTGCTCCGGGTATCAGTGCTGTAATGTCTATAAAGCACCTCCCACAGTGTCCAGGCTTCGTCTTTCCTGCCTATTTGCCAGCCTGCTGCCCATAGCTTTATTAAAGATGAGCCACATTCTTCTCAGACTAGCTTAATTAAGGATGTTTATGATTAATTCCCAGCATGACCCACCCTGGAACTTAAGGGAACTGCATGAGGGAGAAAAAAAACCATGGAAAGCTTCTCAGAGGAAGGGAAATCCTGTAGGACAGGTAGATGCAGCAGGCCGAGAGGTGAAAGTACACCCAAAGGCACAGGCACACCTGGCAGTGACTACATGCACTCTAATTCCTGTTGGAGTAACAGGAGACCACCCCAGATACCACAGGGCACACCCAGCATCCTGACTCCACCCTCTGATGCTGCTCTCCCTGCCTTACCTGTGTGCTCCAGCAGCCTTTCTCCTTGAAGTGTCCACATGCCACCAGCAGCAGTCCTAGGCCTGTGTTCTTTCTGCTTAGCACATCTGGGAGAGTCATGCCTCCTCTGAGCAGCTCCAGCTGAAGCCCAAGGATTCATGCTCATCAGATCAGACCTGTGTCAAAATCAGAGCAGGTGTTATCATCCCCCTGCAACAGGTGCCAGGTGACAGTCATGGCAGAGGCCAGCTGTGAGGCTGGGCAGGCCAGAGGTCTCTGTGTCATCTTTGATTTCTTTTTACATTCTTTTAAAAATACAAAAATCACCCAGGCAGATGGCTGATGGGTGGCTCATGTCTGTCATCCTAACTATTCAGGAGGCTGAGATCTAAGGATCACAGTTCAAAGCCAGCTTGGATAGGAAAGTGCATAAAACATCTCCAACTAACTGCCAAAAAGCTGCCCTGGGTTCAAGCTCCAGGACCAGTACACACACGTGAAAATAATTTTTTAGCTCAAAGGCCTCAAAAAAAAATAGGCCAGTGGTTTGATTTCTTCTCTGCTTATTCTTTCCTGCACTCTTGGACCTCAGAGTTCCCCAATGCTGATTTTCAGTATTTTCATGAACAGGTCTAGGGTCAGAGGTCAGGATAGCTCACCATCAATGTGAATAGAGAACAAATCTGGTTATATAGATTCCCCCAAATGGAAGGGCTGTCCCAGGGAAGGAGATGCCAGCAAGAGGAAGAGGAAATGGCAGGCAGTCACCACCTGCATCTGTTACCTGTGATGTATGGCGTGGGGTGAAGGTTGTTTGGAGGTTTCAGAACTGAGGCCATATTCACAGGAGTCCTTGAATGCCGATCTGAGGATCCCAGCTATAAGAAACAGGTAGGGGGGCCTTGGAAGGGTCTCAAATAAGT